AAAAAAGTTATGAATTTCTAACTATAAAATGTTTGACTTTATCAAAATATCTAAAATTTATTTCAGATTTAGTTAACTTTGACTTTCTTACTTAAAAAACGCAAGTAAATAATGTAAAAAAGACGCTTGGTTTTTTGGTGAGGGTGCAAATACTTATATTCGATCTGCTAAAGGGTGCAAATACTAATAATCGATCTGCTAACTTCCTTTTTTATTTTTGAATATCAAATTGAAAATTCTATTTATGAGTTTTTCCGTTTTCCTCTTTTTTTCAAGAATTAAGTTTTATTTTTCATTTACCTTAACTTTTTCCATAAACACAGTGACAATGAAGTTCGCTATTAGTTGTTGATTAAGTATCAATTGTTAAGTTTTAATGACTGATATATATGATTTAGCCATGTTTTGCTACTGCTGAATAGAGCACTGGGATATATACATTAACTGTTATTTTCCTTGTTTCATTATATTTTCTTCGGTCTTTTAAGTCACATCCTGAGAAAAGTTTTGAATTTAGACTATAGTTGTACTTTCATGAATAGATAGTAATTCATATTTAACTCCATAATATCTAAAATCCATTTCAGATTTATTGAAATTTGAGTTTCTTACTGTTAGCTCACAAGTAAATAAGGAAAAAAATAGTGTTTAACATTTAAGTTCTTGGTTTTTGGTGAAGTTACAAATTCAACCATTCTCATCACCATCGACTAACCTTCTTTTCTATCTTTTGAATATTAAATTGATATACTAATCACGACGTTCTTCTTTTTCCTCCTTTCAAGAACGAAGTCTTTAGTTTTCATTTACCTTTAACTTCTTTTAACCAACATAGTGGCGATAAATTCAGCACGCACTTAGTTGATGATTAAGAATCTGGCGTAAAGTTTTAATGACTGATATATGATTTAGCCATGTCTACTGCCAATAGAGAGTTGGATTATATACATTAACTGTAATTTTTCCATGGTAAAGTTCTTCATTATATTTTCTTCAATCTTTTAAATCACATCCTAAGAAAAGTTTTGAATTTCTTCTTATTATTATGCTTTCTTTAATAAATAGGAATTCATATTTGACTTCATCATAATGTCTAAAATCTATTTCAGATTCAGTTAACTTTAACTTTCTTACAGAAAGAATGCAAGAAAATAAGGAAACAAATTTAGTGTTTGGTGAAGGTGCAAATGATATTCAGATCCCCATCTACTAAATTCATTTTCTATATTTTTTAATATAAAATTGAAATGCTATTTGTGACGTTTTTATTTTTCCTCCTTTTTCAAGAATGATGTTAGAATTGAGTTGTTGATTAGAATCTGGCTGATATAATTATTTAGCCATATTGTTGCTAATGCTGAGCAGAGAGTTATATTACTCAACGCTTCTGCAAAAGGTCTAAGACTTAGGTTCTGTAGAAAATAGAATGAACCCTGATTTGTGTCATCTGATTAACCTAAACTGGAGGGAACAATGTATTAGATCAGAGTGATCACTTTTTCACTCAGATATTGTCCAAAAAATAGAAGTTGGACTCAACTATAAGTTACAACTTGTTTTTATCTGATCATTTCCCATATGTGGAATACTTTGACTTACAAAATAATGCCTTTTGAGAAACCTCCTACGCTGCTTAATATTAAAGCTACAATCTCTTTACATTCACTAAGAAATGACAGAAGCAGATAAGGATTGTAAGGAAGAAAAGGAACAAATGCATTTTCCATTTCTTTAAAAATGTAACAGTTATCATGACATATGATCAAGAATTACAGATGACTGAAGGGATGGAAAATGAGCGGGTTGGATCAAACTCAGGCGGATCAAAATGGGTCAAAGTATTTACTGGGTATAGAGTCAACCCACCCACCCACCCCAAAGTTTATTTGGGTCAAGATGGGCCACACATCAGGTCATAACCCAAATTTCCCCTCTTTTTCAACATATCAAGTTATAACAAACATGGAACTCATTAATGTTTTGCGTAAATGGAAATGGTAGTATGTATTGGAGTGCACCATGTTTATGATTCAGTGATTTATCTATGTCAATGTGATTTTAATCCATCCAGGCCTTGCAAAATAAAAAATTGTGCTAATTTAGTTATGTTGAGATTGCAGAAATGATGGAAATAATGAAATCATGATTACCCTAGTCACCAAGTTCGGTATCTACATCATAGTCCACGAGGCCAAATTGCCCACTAGGGTAACTAATCATCCTATAGCCAATAAGCCTTGGCGGCTCCATCATACCACTATAGCAAGGAGCAATACTCAAAACATTAAACGGCAGAAAGACAAGTTATTAGAGTCAAACAAACATAACTGTTATGCGAGAAGTAAGCTAAGTTTATTATTATACACTAAAAATCAGAACTCCCTAAGGTGCATTCAAATTTGAGAGGACCTGTAGCGTTTGTAAGCTTCCACAGTGCCTCTTCAACTGACAACATGATCTTTAACTGCAACAAGATCAAATAGAAAAATTAATACCAACAATTAACAAATCGAACCATATGAATGAGAAATCAGTGTCTTGTATCCTCAAACAGAACCATTTGAAAAAACTACAGCAAATAAATAGATAAATTAGTTGATAAGTCTCACAAATTCAGGCTTACAGCAACATCAAGAAACTACAGCTCATCAATAGAAAACTGTGGAGTAAGAACTTTTTTTTGAGACAACATATTCAACCATAGCAATCATGTCATCTGAGAACTAAGATGCCAACATTTTATTTTTTTGATTAAGTCTAAGAAGCCAACATCGTATCAAACAAATCAAGACATGACACAAATGAGTGAACTAACAAGAATACAAGCAGATTACTGAATAGGGATTTATGAGAGGGATGGAATGAATAGGGCAATGGATAGAGGTTGTTACAAGGATAAGTTCAGTATCAAAGAAAGAAAGCACAAGGATAGTGGTAAAGTCACCATGAACTAGCTAGACTCTAAACAATCTACATAAAATTTCCCCATGTGTTTTCTCTATCAAGTAATAAAATGTTGTACATAAATTTACAGAGTTATGAGAAGAAGCACAGTACATGGCACACAGCAGAAGATGAACACCAACCAGCCAAGTGGGAAAACCTTAAACCCCTAGTGGCATGGTTTTTGATAATATATACATGAGCTTCTCGTTATCTACCATGAAGAGAAAGTCAGTCACATGCTAACTGCTCATGCAAAGTCCCAAACATTTGGTACCATAGCCGCCCTGGTTTCTCTTTCTTGTCGTTCACGCTAACGACAGAAAAGGAGAAAAAATGGTTATAACTAACCAAATCCAACTATCCTAGATCTTCGGATATATCTGGATTTACTTTCTTCTAAGACATAATGGGGTTAGAAATGAATTTAATCCCACTTTACCTCCGGCGACGTGTTTAATATGCATTAGCATGACCAATAATTACTGGTGTACTTTGCAACACTGATAAAGACAGCAGATATCAGTTGTTTCTCAGCACGGTTTTTCAGTACTACCTAAGTACGGACTGAATTACAAATGTTACTAGTGTTAAAAAAATAGTTGTTTCTCAGGATAATAGGTAACACCATAACAGTTATGGATGACATATCCCAAGCATGCAAATATAACCATTGCATTGGTAAGAAAATTGAAACATATGTTTTGGCTCCATCTTGGCATCAACAGCAATTGCCACTGAGGAAACTTGTGGTTTCCAATTAAGAGAATCAATCATGAACTCCTTTATAGTATACAGTATCAAACAATCGTGTGAAAGCATATCTATCTATTGCTCTAAATTTGGAAACGACAAAATCCAAATATGCCAAATCATTTTCTCCTCTAATGCAAAATACAGAAGAAGTCATTGATGAAAGTCTAGACTGTGCAACATCAGTGATAGATTGCAGAAAAAATATCTTTTTAAAAGTAAAGAGAGAATGCAAAAAACTATACAAGTAATTCACTTGAAATTAGTTAAAATTGCCCTAAATTCAAGAAGGCGAAAACATAAAAAAACTGAAAATGTTTGAAGCTACGATCTGAGTGAAATTAAAACAAACAAAAAATTTGCAGTTTTAAGAACAAACCCTTGAGCGGAAACTTAGTGAATAGTTTTTCCATAGAGACTAAACCCTCCGGCGGAAAACGTTTCCTTCGTCACTTCTCAGAAAAAGAAGAAAGATACCACCTTTAGGAAAATGGAAAAGCAATGGACTTAACCAATTAATTAATTTTTTTTGTGACCCGAGGTGTGAACTAAGGAAAAGACAAAATTACCTTTAAGGACCAAAGTTAACCCTGTCCATCGCTCTCTCCACCAGCATTGGGATTATCACCAGCAGGCTGCCACGCCTGCAATGGAGGCTGAACGTATACTGAAGGAGCAACCACAGCCACAGCAGGCCCTCCTATCATCGGCCCAGGCATAGAAGGCCCTCCTATCATCGGCCCAGGCATAGCAGGCCCTCCTGGCATCGGCCCAAGCATAGCAGGCCCTCCTGGCATCACCCCAAGCATAGCAGGACCTCCTGGCATCACCCCAGGCATAGCAAGCAGTCCCATAGGTGGATAAAAATAGGGAAAACCACCACCTACTGTGGGTCCCACCATGCCAGGCCCAAAACCAGTAGCCACTTCATTGATCTCATCCTCAGGGACGACGTCAGCAAGGAAATCAAAAACCTCAGTCCGCCTAATAGCGGCAGCGAAGTCAGTTTTCTTAAGAGACCCACGGTTGTTTTGCTGGGCGTGAAACCAGGAACGAAGAGTGAGCTCCAGAACAAAGAGCTCACATGCCTTTGAAAACAAAATCGGTGTTTCAGCAGATAGCTTAATGGCATTGTTTTCAGATTTTATAATCCTCTTGATCCTGGAAATAGGAAAGTGATGATGCTTAAAATCATCCATCTCCTCAATTTCCTCACGCTGACAGTTCCAGAAAATCCTCATTTGCTCTTCCACCTGCTGCTGTAGCTGCAGCTGCAGCTGTTGATGCTGCTGATGAAGCAGCATTTGGTAGAAGGGGTAACCAGGGTACAGAGGCTCCACCGGTTGTTGTTGATTGATCTCCATGGGTTGTTGATCATTGTTCTCCATTGGTTGTTGTTGATTGATCTCCATGGCTTGTTGATCATTGTTCTCCATCGGTTGTTGTTGATTGATCTCCATGGGTTGTTGATCATTGTTCTCCATGATTTTTTTGGTAGAGGAGCGGATTTTCCAATGAAGTAACTGTAAACACAGACTGAGAAATGGAAGAATGAAGAAGAAAACTACGCACTCATTAAGCTTTATTGCAGATCGTGACAAATTTGGATTGTAGCTTACTCGGATTTTAAGCTTCATCTATGAACTGTATTTTAGTTTTTAGTGTGAGTTCACACCACTTCTCCTTCCCCAGTTTAACTCTTTCCCATTTTTGCCATTTTCAAAAAAAAAAAAAAAAGGAAAAATCACTGGTGTGTTCAAACACGTTTCTCCCTCTCTTCTTTTTCCTATTTTTCTCACTCTAAAAAGCAAATATCAGTAGTAGTATATTCTCTTTTTTTTCTTTAAGTAGAAAGGATATTATAATTAATATTTATAATTAAACATGTAACATTACATTATCACATTTAATACACATATAGATTGTCAAATTTATTGCAGGTAGATTGTAATATTAGTTTATTAGATAGTACTTCTTTTTTATTTGCCTTGATAAACTGGTTAATAGGGTTAAGAGGATTGTATTATTTTTATCATCATTATTTTTCTTTAAATATTTGATTATTTATTAAAGTTTTAATTCTTCATTTAAGGATTCTTTGATATTCTTTTTCTAATCATACATAGTATATGTATATGTTTTCTGACACTACCAGTCTATAGACTTCACCTGTCAGTAGTGTTTCATTCACAACTAAGATGAGAAGACTATCTAGTTTAGTGTTAATTATTTCTATACACTAATCTCCTTAAGATGACTCTTTGTAAGTATTTCTGAGTATTAAGTAAATGTGTTTAAAAGAGAATTGAGTCTAATCTAGCACATTGATTTTTAGATACTCAACGTATTCAAAATACGTATTAGCTTATAAGACTTTTTGGATTATCCAAGAACATTAGGTAGGTTGTATGCTTTTATAATAAATGTGCATCTATTATATACATATTTTATTTTTGGGAAAATGCACAAGTACCCCCTCAACTTATATCCGAAATTCTAGAGACATACTTGTACTATATTAAGATCTTATTGCCCCCTGAATTTATTTTATAAGTAATTTTCTACCCCTTCTTGGCCTACGTGACACTAGCTTGAAAAAAAATCAACCAACGTTGGGCCCACAAGATAGTGTCACATAGACAAAAAGGGTAGAAAAGTATTAATAAAATAAGTTTAGGGAGTAATAAAACCTTAGTATAGTATAAGCGTGTCACTGAAATTTCGAGCATAAGTTGAGGGGTACTTGTGCATTATCCCTTTATTCTTCGAATTGCATAAAATCTCATAAGGGCTTACCTATGGGTGACAAGTTTCACATATTTATAACTAGTAATCTTAAGCCATTCAACTAACCTGGGATGTATAATACAATACATTTCATACAATTAATCTTCATTTTTTTTTGTATATATTATTGTACAGTTTGTTTTTAAAAAACTTCTATATGTGACCTTAATCAATTTCTTTGGCATGGCAAACACCTTAGATCAGAATACTTGAATAGAAGTAAAAACTTACTTTATTGATTGTATCTTAGCATAAGATAGAAAAATAATAATGGTCCATGACTATAATCCTCCCTAGCATCTTTACTATCAATGATTAATATTAAACGAATGAAATTATTTTTGTGCTCGAAGAGACTCCCAAATACTTGAATGGAAAACTTATTTTATGAAAAGTGAGTTCATTTTGGAACATTTTGAATGGCAAAGATATGTCCCTCATCAAAAAATCAAACATGAAGGGTGTGTTTGGTACGAAGGAAAATATTTTCTTTGGAAAATATTTTTTTTTGGAAAACAAGTAGATTTTAGACTTATTTTCTCATGTTTGATTGGTGAATAGAAAATATTTTTCGGAAATGATTTTTAGTGTTTGATTTATGAATGAAAAATATTTTTGAGAGACATCTTTTATTTTTGCTAGAGTAGAAAATAATTTATAAAATTGAAAATATTTTTAAAAACAATTTTCATTTGGGGTGGGGTGGGGGAGAGGGATGGGGTAGGAGTGAAAAAATAAAAAATTGAACTTTATACTATTTTTAAAAAATAAAATAAATTTTTTTGGGGCTTGGGGGTGTGTGGGGGACTGGCCGGGGGTAGGGGTAGAAGTTTAAAAATAAAAATTTGAAGTTGAAAATATTATTAAAAAGCAAAATTATTTTTTTTTGGAGGGGGGGAGGGTTGGGGGGGCTGTCCAGTAGTGGGTGGGTGGGGGTCAGGGATCGGGTGAAAAAAATAAAATTTTAAAATTGATTTTTTTAAAAAAAAATTGTTGTTTTTCTCAAAAAAAGCAATTTAAAATTGAAGAGTTTTGAAAAATATTTTCCTTAATTTTTGAAGGAAAGTTATTTTCCTTAATTTTAAGAAAAATGAGTTGATTTTTAAAACATTTTCCAAAACTTTTATCCCAACACAACATGAGAAAATGTTTTCCTTCATACCAAACACACTCGAAGGTTTCAAACCAAAAGAAATTTCACTTAGTGACCTCAAAGTATTTGAATCATTGTTATCTGATCTTAAAAATTAAAATGAAACATTTCAGATTCCGTTACACAAACATGACAAACTTCATCTGTAGAATAACCTTTAATTTTTGTAATAACATAATTAACATGCAAATATATTTAAAACACTTTCCTGAAAATAAACTTGTTTTGATCTTTGAAGACCATATATAGGTTTCAAAAGGATTCGGGAAATACACGAGAATTAGTTTCTAGATGATAGCTAGACTTTTACTTCATATTTTTTTGAATTAATCAAATATCAAATCACACTACCAGTTAAAAAAATAGAAAAAACAAATTCATCATCTTGATTAAGAAAAAGTATTCACTGAATATCCCTAAGAGTTGGTGCCATCATATCCCAAGTGTTCAAAAATAATCAATGAGAAACTGATATAGTAAACAGCTCCAAGTAGTTCTTTTGGCATCTTACTTATGGACTTTCAGATTTTGCGTACATCAAAAGTATATAGTTCCGCTGATGTAAAATATTTTTCTTATCCTACACTATTTTTTAAAGTTTTTTATTTTGCTTAAATTTCTTTTATAAAAGTATTTCATTTTTTACTTCATCTCCTCTCCCTCATCAAATATTAATTTAGATATTATTTTATTTTTAAAAAAATATAATTCTATCCATCCCACTTAACCATCTGATTTCAATTTTTTTTCAGTGTTTAAATATACATATCAAAAATATTATTTACTTGCCGTCACAATATATTTTTTAGTTTTTATATTATATTCAGTACACTAGTAGAATTTTTTTTCTAAAAATATATGTATGTACATATCTAAACAAAATAAAAAAATATAAAAAATAAAATTAGGAGCGGAAAATTAAATAGGATGGGTAGATTTTTTTTAAATAAAATAATATCAATTTCTATCGGGGGAGGGGGGGAGGGGGATGATGAAATATGAATTTTTTACAAATATTTTATAAATGATTTTTTCAAAAAAAGGATGGCGTTGTCGCGCGAGAGGGGGTACATGGAGGAGATGGTGGAGTGAGATAAGAAAAATAATTTAATTTTTTATATGGATAATAATCTTTAATTTTTAATTAATATTAATTTTTTATTATTTAATTTTTATCTAGATAAAATATTTTATCTACGTGGAATGTCATGTGTCAAAGTTTTTTTGATATAAAAGAGAGAGTGCACTACACACACCACCGATGCACTGATGTGTTTCTCAAACTAAAAAATGATAGTTTAGGTATGAAATTCACGCTTTCAATAGTTTAGTTATGAAAATCTAAAAAAGTGAATATTTTAGGTGTGTTTTTAACACTTATCTTTAACTTTTTTAAGACTTAAGACTTTTTTTATATATGTGCTTGAATATTTTGATATTGCGTGTTCATATTTATTTATTTTCACCTTTATCTTCTGTATTTTTGTCGTTATAAAAGAAAAAATTATTTGTGTGTTCACACACATTAATGATTTGTAAT